GGTCTAGAGTGTATGGAAGCTACTAAACTTAGATCATTCCTTAGTGTGCCGTTATGGGGGTGAAGGAATAGGGCCCCAGACATTCCTTACTAATGCTCACTGTGTGTGGCTCAGTCATCAACTGGGGGCTTGGTGTATGATCAGTTCCTCTGCCAAGCATGAAGGTTAACATTGATTGTCAACTTGACAGGCTCCAGAATCACCAGCGAGACTATAGGGATGTGCCTATGAAGGATTATCTAGATTAAGTAATAGAAGTGGGAGGACTCATGTCAGTGCACCAGCATTCAGTACTCCCTTCTTCCTGCCTCTGGACAAAATATGACAGTTTTGCCTTACTGTCATGATAGACCATGCCCCCTGAACTCTGAGCCCAAATAAACCCTTAGATTGCTTTGATGAGGGATTTTTTTTTCCCACAGCAACAAGGAAAGTAATGAGCACATCGAGATTGAGGGAGAACTATGTCATGGTTGGATTGAGGCACAGGTTCTTAAAGCTGGGCTGGGTATACTCTGTACCACAGTATCCATCCATCATGCTTAAGGCATCAGGCTCTAGCTCTATCACCATTGAGAAAGAAGAAAACAGTAGTAACGGTGACATCGTATTACATCCAGATACAGAAACACCGCAGCAACTCTTTAAAAGCTTTTACTAGTACAATACAAGTAACAAAAGAAGAATAACAAAAGAATAATAAAACAAAAATATTTGAAAGGAAATGAAAAATGGAGGAAAAAAGTTTGTTTTTGAGACAAGACTCACTATGTAGCTCTGGCTGGCTGGGAACTATGTTATGGTGGTTTGAAAGAAAAAGACACCCAAAGGGAGTGGCACTATTAGGAGGTGTGGCCTTGTTGGAGTAGATGTGGCCTTGTTGGTGGCAGTGTGTCACTGTGAAGGTAGGGCTTTGAGGTCTCATATATGCTCAAGCCATGTCCACTGAGACAGTCCACTTCCTATTGCCTGCGAAGTCAAGATGTAAGAACCCTCAGCTACCTCTCTGGCACCATGTCTTTCTGCATGGTGCCTTGCTTCCCATCATGACAATAATGAAATAAACCTCAGACATATAAGCAAGCCACCACAATTAAATGTTTTCCTGTATAAGAGTTGCCATGGTCATGGTGTCTCTTCACAGCAACAGAAACCCTAAGACAGAAGTAGACCAGGCTAACCCCCAACTACTGAAATTAGCCTGCCTCAGTCTCCCAGGTGGTGGGATTAAAGGTGTACAAGGCTGGAAAATAAAATTTTAGAAGTGATAAATGAAAAAAGAGAGAAAAAGAAGACCAAATTAAATATAAACACCACAGAAATGTGTTATCCTTGGCCTAATCCTTAGTTAGCATCCCAGAGAGAAGGAAAGACAATTATAAAAAGAAAATAAGGAGAAATGATCCAATTAAAACATTTTAGAGGCAAAAATTATATGTTAAAAAGAGAAAAGCGTGAGCAGAATTGAGGTCTGTCCAGGCTGCAGTCTGCCTGTGGCTTTGGGTTGCTGTCTGTATCAAAAAGTATTGAGTTTCTACCGCCCAGGAGACTGCCGTCTTCTCTCAAAGGTTTCCTCTCCCACACTGGTGGTCTTGGCATTTCCAGGAATAGCAGTGCAGGGATGGAGGCATCATGAGCTGGTGTTCCAGCAGAGGCCAGGGTTATGACAGTAACTGTGATGAGAAAATCCAGAATACAGTGTAGCTACCTCCAGAGACTGGGTTTCACCAGCAATAGAGGTGGGTTGCTTAATAACAATACAAAAAGAGAATATTTTAAATGTGTTCATATATTACATATAAGCATGTATTTGTTTATATTTAGTATAATTTATAGATCAAACTTAACAGCGATGTCGTAGTTTCGTTTAAAATACCTAACAAAAGTTACTTAAGAAACAGGGTTTGTTCTGGCTCACACTACAAGATTCCTGTTCACCGTGGCCTGGAAGTCGCAGGGGTAGGAGCTTGAAGCATCTGGTCACTTTGAATATACAAACAGGAAGCAGACAATGATGGATGCATGCTGCTGCCAGTCAGTTCTCTTTCTTTGATTACACAGTCTAGGACACCAGGCATGGAATGGCGCCACACACAGTGGGCAAGCCTCCCCACCTCAATCATAGTCCAGGTAATCCCCAACAGGCATGCCCAGAGGCCCTGTCTCCCAGGTGACCCTAGATTCTTTAAGGTAAGCAGTGAGTGAGAGAGAGAGAGAGCGAGAGAGCTAGCTCTCTCGCTCTCTCTCTCTCTCTCTCAAAATCTAATAAGACTTCCCATTTCCTTTCCTCCAAGGTGGTCATTTGAGAAATCAGAAGTAAATGTTTTCAGCCTTTGTCGAGCAAATCTTTTCATACCCTCTGGAGAGAGCACAGCCCCATTGTTACTTTTCCTTTTCTTGAGTTTTGCTCACCTGCCAATCAAAGGGGGTGGTTTGTGAGGAGATCCAGTTATTAATCACTCTGTGTGGCCCCACTGCTTTCATTTTCTCTGTTCATCTTAAGGCAGAGCTGACCTCTCTGGCACCTTCGTTGATAGTTTGAATGAGAATATCTCCCACAGGCTCAGATGTTTGATTACTTGATCCCCAGTTGGTGGAACTGTTTGGCTAGGTTTAGAAAATGTGGCCTTGCTGGAGGAAGTATATCACTAAAGGCAGGCTTTCAAGTTTCAAAGCCTTGGGCCATTCCAAGTGCACTCTGTTTCACACTTGGGGTTCCAGATGTGCACCTTTGGCTTCCTGCTCCATACTTGCCATACTTGCCAACTGTCGCCATACTTGCCAACTGTCGCCCTCTGGGACTGTAAGCCCAGATAAGCCCTTTCTTCTGTTCAGAGAAGCCTTGTTCATGGTGTTTTATCACAGCAACAGAAAACTAATGAGGACAGGTGGAGTGGGGGAAAGCATGCTATGGAATTGGGTCAATCACCCATACTTGATGGAGAGTGAGGGCTGTGCTGGATTTCACTGGAGCTCTGACCCCTCTCTGATATTCCAAAACATAGCTCCCGTGTTTGTCTTGCAGCCATGTGCCCTCTTCCCCAACCTTAGCTCTTAGCAATTTCCCTTCAGAGTCTCTCTCCTGTTCTTAAACTAACTCTGAAGGCTGATGCCCTGTGTATGTGCATAACCTTTGTGTGGGTTCCTTGATTCAGAAAAACGTTAGGACTTTTGACTCTGCATGCAGTAAGCTCAGACAAGATATTCTCAAGACCATCCTAGTGATACTGCGCTGTGGAATCCTCCTGTCTCGTGTGTGTAAGCCACCTTTCCTCCCAGTGCCGAAGCCTGTGCTAACCGAGCTTTCTTTGTCCTTCATTTTTGACCTTTACCCTACCCCCAGGTGCACTGTGATGTGTTTGCCTGAAGTGTTTTTTCTCATCCTTTGCTCTCGAAAGCTTCTGGGTTTTGTCAGGTTATCTGTTGGGTTCAACGATGTTTGTCATACAAGCCTGACCATCTGAGCTCAGTCCCCAGAGCCCACAGTGGAAGCGGGGAACCGACTCGCAGAAGTTGTCCTCTGACCTCCACGTGTGTGCCATGGCGTGTATGCGCTTCTACTCATAGACGCACACAAGGACAGACACACACCATAAATAAATAAAGCAAGTGTTATTATTTCATGTCATAAGCGCAGGTACTTTATAATGATAGTTAGGTATCTCTACTATCTCCTTGTCCCTTCTGGTATTGCTGCCATTCTCCTTATTTCTGCATAAGCACATATATATGGAGACATACATAATCACATTCACTCTTTCTGGTATTTTAAACTGTTCATTAAATCACCTAGCCAGCAATGAAAGCAAATGAACTAGGAATTCATTCTACTTTCACTTATTTATTTTCCGATAGGCCTCCTCTATGTAGACACACATTTCCTAGAAGGCTGGTAATTAAACTATTGTGTAAAATTAAGCCTAATAAAACTGAAGGATGTTTGCCTACCATGCACTAGGGTCTGGGACCCATCCCCAGCACTACTAAGAAAAAGCTTGGAGGAGTATTGCAGATCTTAATAGACTACCAATAGACTTGGATTGGCATACAGCTTAGATACTGGACAGCTAAAAAATCTTTTCGGCATGTTCCTAACAAGGACTTTTCTTATTGGGAGTGGGGAGCAATGATGAAGATTAAACGTAGGGCCCAGTGCATCTGAGATAAAAGATCTACCATGTAGCTACAGCCCCAGTTCCCACAAGGACTTTAAGAGGGGACCACAGGGATCAAGGGGAACTGTTAGGCTTTGTCCAGAGTTCAGGTAAAGTGGGGCGTCATGGTATGAGGCTTCTGGGGTAGGGATGCTGGGACAGTGACCCACAGTTCAAATGTGTTCTCATTACTACAGCAGATAAGACTGGTGTATAATTTGGGCTCAACATTTGCTCAGAATTCCAAAGATGTTTTCGATTGCTACATTTCATACAGTTCTCTATCTTAAACTGAGACTCATTTGCTGCTGCAAAATATGGTGTTTTCTTCATGAAATACAAATCATATACCACAAATGAAGTCTGCAGCAGTAAAACTCAATGTGTTGCATCGTAAAAAATCTTTTTTAGCCTGGCGGTGGTGGCGCATTCCTTTAATCCCAGCACTCAGGAGGCAGATCCAGGCGGATCTCTGTGAGTTCGAGGCCAGCCTGGACTACCAAGTGAGTTCCAGGAAAGACGCAAAGCTACACAGAGAAACCCTGTCTTGAAAAAAAAACAAAAAAACATAAAAAATCTTTTTTAATGAAATTTTTAAATGATATTTTTATTTTCCTATGTGCATGGGTATTTTACCTGTGTGTGTACCTGTGCTATCATTCCTGTGGAGGTCAGAAGAATGCATCACATTTGTGTTAGTCACCATGTGGGTGCTGGGAACTGCACCTGTGGAGGACATCTAGTGCTCTTCACTACTGAGCTGTCTTCCAGCTCTCATGATAGGACATCTTGATTTGCTGCTGATTATATACCACTGAGGTGTGACAACTGTATTTTATCTCCTAGGAACTGTGGAATTCATTATGGACTCAGAGCACAATTTTTATTTCATGGAGATGAACACAAGGCTACAAGTAGAACATCCCGTCACTGAAATGATCACGGGAACTGACTTGGTGGAGTGGCAGTTCAGGGTAAGAATGTTTTTCCTAGTAAACATCAGTCTTGGGCTATGGATATAGCTTAGTGGTAGAGTGCTTGCTTAGCATGGGTGGTGCATGGTTTCAGTCCCTGGCACTACCAGAAATAAGATCAGTGTTGAGAATACATCATGCTGTGAACTACTTTGGGTATGACTCATTTTTTTGTGGTTAGGATGAGGACAGGAAAATGTAAGATTTAAAAAACAAAAAACAAAAAGCTGGCTAGGCAGTGGTGGCACATACCTTTAATCCCAGGAGGCAGAGGTAGACAGATCTCTGAATTCAAGGCCAGCCTGGTCTACAGAGCAAGTTCCAGGACAGCCAGGACTACACAGAGAAACCCTGTCTTGAAAAACAAACAAACAAACAAACTACATCTGATGCTGCAATGTTACTGGCACTTTAGGAACACCGATTCCAAATTTATCAATTACTTTCATCCCCCGCTTAGGCCCTGGGCTATAGGCAGGTGAGCTGTATCACTGTATCTGGTCCTGATCACAGACCAAGCCTTGTAATCTATCAAGGCAGCAACATTGTGGACCATGTTAGATTTTAGAGGCAAGACATGCTAGCCAGGATGAAATGACCTAAGGGGTTGGGAGTGAAGAGCGAGGGGCATGGTCTTCTAGCAGTAGAGTGATCCATGTAAAGTTCATTTGCAGACTGCTGTCAGCCCATGAGTAAGTGCTCATTTGTAGTAGCCATTCACAGCCAGTGTTCAGAAGGTATTGCAGTTTTTGACACTGTTGATGTATCTAACACACACACACACACACACACACACACACACACACACACACACACACACGATCTGTAACTGTTCTAATAATATGAAAGTAGTAGTATGAATATTCTTGATTTCCAAAGGTTCATTTCATGTACTGAGTCTAAGGTATTTTTTCCATACTTTGATGATTAATTCATGACATTTGGATAACTTTGTCTTCTTAAAACTTCTGTGGACAATATTGTCATGTTTCCTTGGTGAATGATTAGTGGTTCGGATTGAGCCAAAGGATTCTTCAGGGTCTCTCTGTGGCATTGGAAATGAGAAATCCAGGCACAATGAGCTACTAAACATTAATAGTGTCCGAGAAAACTAGCAAGTGTGTTTTTTTCTAGAATCAAGAAGAGGAATTTTTTTTTTTTTCTGAAGCAGTAACCATGTGATCCTATGGGCTGCTTGCAGCTGAAGACACGTCTGAATGTGGCCCAACAAAAAAAAAATTGTAGTTACTTAAAACATTATGAGGGGTTGTTGGTGCTGCTGTTGTTTTAGTTATAACTTCATAGCAAAGTTCTCAGGCATGAACTTAGTAGATGACACCATCATGTTGCATTGTCAAAATGTTGGACACCTAATAGGACTTTAAAATCATGGAGGAACTGTGTTCCTAAGCATTTAGGAATGAGAAGGAAAACCAGGGATGTTTTTTTCTGGCTCTTGGGAAAATGCAGGAGCTTCAGAAAAGGAAGCGAGCTTTCATCATCCAGAGCACATTCCAGAAATGAAGGAACTGGGGCCTGACATGGGGCATGAGGTGCTCTGGAGTCATGCATAGGGAAAGCAGGGGACCTTGACAGTTGATGAGTCGAGAATTGAAGCTTCAGGCCTGCCTCTAGAGTCAGAGACTTCTTAAACAGAGGACTCAGTGGTCCAACAGTTGAGTTCAGGTTACAGCACAGATCGCCAGCAGGACCTGGGGATGCTGGGAAATCTGCAGCTACTTGTGTCTCTCTGAGAATGAAAATGGCACATCATTCCCAACCTGAAGGTGTAGTTAGGACCAGTCTCTCCTGGACTCGGATGGGAAGCCAGTGTCAGAAAAAAAAAAAAAGAAAGAAAAAAAAAAGCCAGTAAAAATAAGTCAGTTTGAAAATGGTCTGTATAACAAGAAATTAGATTATACCCTAGAAGATGCGATGCATGACCAACACTTTTTTCTTTTGCAAGTGAAGACAATTAGAATTCACTAGCTTATCAACAAGAGTTTCATTTTGAAACATAGAAGGAAAGGATGCCAGCAAGGACTTCTGTGGTTCTTACTGTAGCCAGACTTCTGAATACAAAAGCTTGAAAAATTCCCTGGGCAGGGTGAGTGTGGGGACAATGGAGCCCAGGCAGTGTGGGTATGGAGACTGTGGCCTGAAACACCATCAGCACACTTGATTTAGTTATTTCTACTTTGGTTCTGTATTGTGTGCGGTTCCTGACCCTTCTGTTGCAGGTTCTGAGGAATGCTCTCGTCTCTGTTGTGTGCTTACCTTTTCAGTTCAGAATCATATTGTTACTCCTTTCTCCTGTGTCTTCCATGAGTTGTTGTTGCTGTTATTATTATTATTTTAATCTTGGGGGAAAATTGAAGAGAGGAAGTGTCCACATATCCTCTATTACATCAGTTTTCAACCTGTGGGTCGTGACCCCTTTGGCAAACCTCTGTCCCAAAAAATATTTATATTACATTATAACATTACATTATAACAGTAGCAAAACTATAGTTATGAAATAGCACTGAAAATAATTTTATGTGTGGGGGTCACCACAATATGAGGAACTGCATTAAAGGGTCACAGGGTTATGAAGGTTGAGAACCACTGCTCTATTAGCTTTTTCCAAGTCATACTAATTGACGGGTAAAATGTATTAAATTGTATATAAGAGCCAAAACGATAAGTATTATAGTAACAGTGGATGATCATAGCTCTCCATCTTGTGATCTGGGTTACACAAACATCTTGTTCTTCTTTCTGTCTTACTCTGTCACTCACTTGCTGGTGAAAATAGTGTAGATAGGCTGTTCACACTTTCTTCATGGGTGTGAATAATTTCAGATACCGAGTGAAAATATAAAGATAATTGGGGAACTGAGTATTATATTGTAAATGTAAACAGTGTCTTACCAGTAAGAAAGTTAGGTTTTCATGGTATTAAACACTGATTTTTATACTTAGAAATTAGCCTTCAATTAGGCTTTCTCCACTTTAAAACTCTGGAACCCATGGTAATGAACAGATTATCCCCAAGTTGACTCTGCTTAAGGGGATGGACAGCACAGATTTCATTTGACTGCTTTATAGAATCCATACGTCCATTTTCACAGGGTGTAAGCAAGACCACTGACCTGTGAGTCAGTGGTTAGTTAGGGTTAGTAACTCCAACGTGCATTTCCATAAGAAGCTCTATTTTGTTACCAGATTGCAGCAGGAGAGAGGATTCCCTTGAGCCAGGAAGAAATCCCTCTGCAGGGCCACGCCTTTGAGGCTAGAATATATGCAGAAGACCCTGACAATAGCTTCATGCCAGGGGCTGGACCACTGGTTCACCTCTCTACCCCTCAGGCAGACATGTCTACGAGGATTGAAACCGGAGTGCGGCAAGGTAACACTAAGTGAGATCAAAGCTATCGCCGTAATTAAACTCACAATAAGTTACTTTTCTCTAAGATGAGGCCATACTGTGTTGGCCAGACTTAAACTCCTGGGCTCAAGTGAGTGTCCTGCCTTCGCCTGCTAATGAGCTATGATCCATATGTGAACTATGGATCATACCACCATACCCAGATTTAACTGCATTATCATCTCATGTGTGTGTGTGTGTGTGTGTGTGTGTGTGTGTGTGTGTGTGTGTGTGTGTGGTGTTTTACATTTTATTTATTTATTTACTTGGTGGGGTTTGCTGGGTTGCTGTATGTATGCCATGTGTGCATGTAGAGGCCCTGGGACAACACACGGGAATGGTTTTCTTACCTATGGGCACAGAGGACTGAAGGCTTGGAAGCTAAGATGGAAATAAGTTTAATGTGAGTAGGTAGGGCTTTGCCTTGACCTCCACGGAGAGAAAGGGAAAGAAGATAGGCTGAAGAAAGCCGGCCCATGTGTCACTGAAGCACATGAGAAAGCCTTGTTAGATTTTGGAGAAGCTTTTAACTCCACCTGAGCCTTGGTTTCCTGGAAATCAAATTGTGCTGAGGGCACCTGCCATGCAGGAGTTGGTGAGGATGAGTGTGAAGTGATGGGAGGAATGTGTTGTTCTGCCATGCCTCATTCCTGAGTGGTGACATGGACAGTGTTTCTCAATTCCAGGAGATGAAGTCTCGGTGCATTACGACCCCATGATCGCAAAGCTTGTTGTCTGGGCCGCAGATCGCCCGTCAGCCCTGTCGAAACTGAGGTACAGCCTTCATCAGTACAACGTGAGTGAGCCGAGGCCTGTGCCGATACCCTTTCTCGGCAGAGTGATCCTTTGTCTTCCCCAGAGGCTCCTGTTCTCACCTCATTCCTGCATTCCAATGTCAGACACAAAACAGGTCTTCACAAGTCCCCAAGGGCGAGTGTGAGCTGTGAGCACGTCTTTGTCTCAGTTAGGAAGAGAAGGATTGTAGACATAGAGCTGTTAGTGTCAGTGCTACATGCTAGTGAAATCATAGGCATCTGTAAATAAGGCCAACTATAGAAGTGAGTGTACTCAGTTTTCTTTAAAAAATTAATGTAGCTGGAGTTTTCCTGCCTGGCCCACAGTCAGGACAAATCCCTGACACCTGCCAGTCCCACAGCCGCTCAGACCCGACCAAGTAAACACAGAGACTTATATTGCTTACAAACTGTATGGCCGTGGCAGGCTTCTTGCTAACTGTTCTTACAGCTTAAATTAATCCATTTCCATTAATCTATACCTTGCCACATGGCTCGTGGCTTACCGGCATCTTCACATGCTGCTTGTCATGGTGGCGGCTGGCAGTGTCTCTCTGACTCAGCCTTCCACTTCCCAGCTTTATTCTCCTCCTTGTCCCGCCTATACTTCCTGCCTAGCCAATGGCCAACCAGTGTTTTATTTACTGACCAATCAGAGCAACACATTTGACATACAGACCATCCCACAGCAAATTAATACTTATTTTCATCCATTTGACAGTTTATTTTTCTGTATCACATTAATTTTCCTGGTGCAAAAGTCCCAACCCCCTTAATTTCACTTCATAGGAGGATTTATGACACATGATTTTAAAATTATTGGGTGTTATTAATCTGCATCAATTTCCGTGTCTCTCACACTATGATTGTATTTGCTGTCCCCTGAGTGCCCCAGTGTTGAGAAGTCTGTTACCTCCCCTTTGGTGTGTCTTTACCTTATACTGTCTGCTGACTGTCCTCGGTCCTGCTCACTCCTCAGACTCCATTTCCAGTTGTTGTGTTTCGAGCAGGACACTTGGATGTCCTCTGTCCCCTTGGGCAGCCTCAGTCTCTGTTGCAGCCTCTGGGGGGCGGGGGCTTCAACTATTTTCTCTCACTGTCCCCAGAGCCTGTGTCAGACCCTGGCACCTGAAACTGCTCAGTAAGGGAAATAAGGAATGGATGATAGAGTGAATGAATGCATGAACCCAAAGCCACAGTCACCTTTATCTTTAATCCTCTTATTATTGCTTTTTGAGAGGAGGTGATTAGGATTGATGATATTCCTTTTTTTAAAAATTTTTATATCCATGTATAAACTTTGGATTTTAGTGTTGGAAGGAAGTTTCTTCCAAGCTGTTTATTCTTGTTCCCTCTCCAGTATCACAATCCTGCCTGCATTTGCAGTCATCCTATTTTGTGGAATGTTCTAAATAACAATCTTTGATCTCTTGAAAATAAATTCCATGTCTATTTTTGACATTCATCATTTTCCTAACCTAAGCCAATTAAATGTTTAACCTGAGCCAATTAAACACCCTGCTGTAGCACATCCTACACCCTGTTTCTCTTGTTAAGCTGGATTTTGAAGTGTAAGTCCAGATATGCAATGATAAATCTGGTGACAGCTGAGTGTGACCCTTCTCCACGTGACACCTCAGTGGGTCATAGAGCAGATGCTTTTCTGAATATATTGTTTTCCCCACTCAGCAGGACCCGGGTTTGCTTTTCTTCCTAGATTGTCGGCTTGCGCACCAATGTGGACTTCCTGCTCCGGCTGTCTGGCCACCCAGAGTTCGAAGCTGGAAATGTGCACACTGACTTCATCGCTCAGCACCACAAGACACTCCTACCCACCCACAGCATCATAGCCAAAGAGGCTGTATGCCAGGCAGCTTTGGGGCTCATCCTCCAAGAGAAAGAGATGACCAGCACTTTCAGACTTCACACACAAGGTACAGAGCACACTTTTCTTCCCTTGCTATAGTCTCTGAATCAGCAAGAAACATGCTTCTCTTTCTGTGTGTCTTTCTTGCCTTTTCTGCTTCCACTGACTGATCCTATTATATGCAGATATTTTTCAGTGTGGAAAAGAACTCTGGAAAAGAACTCTTCATGTATCACAAGTGCATCATAAGCATAAGTACATACATCAGAAGTGCACATATAAGCACTACTGAACTCAGTAAATGTAGCTCGAACAATGCCCTAACATTGCAGAAATTGCTCTCTTTCTAACTGAACACTGGTTCTTTCTGTATCTTGTGCTGATCCCTGTTGACTCTGCATTCAGCACTCCGGGTGGTTTGCTCCATTGTACCCACTGTACCTACAACAAAGCCCTTGGTCTCCCAGTCTAGAACACTGGAGATCCAGATTGCTTTGAGCTAGCCGTGTTTCATTACTGAGTTTCTTCTTCCTCTTTTTCCATCCCATAATTAAATTTCTGTCTGGATAGAGATTTCGGTCCTTCAGGGTGTCAGAGGATATGCTGTGGAAGGATCTGTTCTGGTTGCCACATGCTTTCCTCCTCCAGCATGCTCTGATGGTTTCCCAACCTTTTCCTGGCAACTAGTTGCCTCATAGGATGGTGTATTATAGCTTCAGTCAGCTCTGCATTGAAAGGTCCCCCACCCCCTCCCCCCACTGCCCCCAAACTAATACAAAATCTGCATTCTCTAACTTGCTCCCAGTATTTACTCAAGATAATGTTGAACATTGGATTAAACATAATTTTAAGTCTCTTTCTCTTTTATTATTAGAATTATTATATTAAATTTTTGTTTTTAGTTTATTTTTATTTATGTGTATGAGTGTTTTGCCTGTATCTGAGCCTGTGCTCTGTATATATACAGTGCCTGTCAAGGCCAGAAGAGGGACCCTAGGACTGGACTCAGGGATGGTTGTAAACCTCCATCTAGCTGGGAATCCCACCTAGGTTGTTGGGAAGAGCAGCTGCTGCTGCAGACCGCTAAGCCATCTCTTTAGCCCTGGGATTGTTAAATGTTCTTGCCTCCTATAGGATTCTGTTGTTAGCATCTTTGATTTTAGATGTTTTCAAATCATTATATTGAAAGCTTAAAGAATGCAACTATGTCTTTAGATTTGTTTGCTCTATTCTCACTTTGCTCCTTTACTTTTTAAATTTATAAGTATCACACTTACAGGCTCCACACTAGATGGCTTCAGCTTAGTTACACCACTGTCTGTGGGTTGTATCCAGCAGAGCATGCACACCTCAGCACATAGAGCTGAGCCAGTGACACAGAGACCCAGTGAAAGGAAAACAATGAATGTTAGAGACTGGGGCAGGGTGGGGACCTCTGTGCCACCAGAGGACAAGAGCTGACTTATAAATAATCAGATTCTTCCAGAGAAGCTGGGACTTGTCATATGAAAGTCTCTGAGATATAAGTCAGAGTAGCTACCTTAAATTTAAAATAGTAAGAACAGAGCTGCCAATTGAGGACCTGTGGTTTAGATTTGCTTTTGTAGAGTACACTTGGGAGCTTGATACTTGTAATTTTGTTGTTGCATTTTAAATTTTTTCTAGATCTATTCTCTCCGTTTTCATTCAGCAGTGGGAGAAGACTGAATATCTCTTACACCAGAAACATGACTCTGAGAAGTGGTAAAAGTGGTAAGTAATATTTCATTACAAGAGAAATATAGAGTGTAGAAACATAGCACAAAAACACTTCTAGCCTGGTCATGCTCAGTCAGCTGTGAGATTTTAAATAGCCAGTGGAGTTGATTGGCAGGGTCCTGGGGTTAATGGTGTACATTCTCTCCCTACTTCTGTGCTTTTAAGTATTCTGAAAATATGCCATAAGACATACCTACAAACAACTGAAGTGAAATGTGACAAAGTATTAGTGAGGAGACCAGGGTCTGATCTGAGGCAAGGCCTTTCTCCTCAGCTCTTTGTACTTTTTTATTGCTCTGCAGGCTTTCTGCTCTAAGAACATCGCTTTTAGATAAGAAAACAGTGTTCAAAACTGTGAGGGACAGAGAGTCACCCACTGTTCAGGCAGTGCCTTGAGATCCATGTGGACTGGGTCACTGAAGAGCTGTTGTTCAGTCTATGTCTCATCATATGAGTGTTTATCTTCACCACAACTTAATGAGGGGAACGAAGGGAGTCCCGGCTCATGTGTGGATGCTGACGCTGAAGCCCAGAAGTAGGGTAACTTACCGAAGGCCAGGCAGGGCAGAGCATCATGGGTGCCCACTCCTTTTGATACTGACTCCATGCTTTTCCTAACTCTTTTGGGTTGGGTAGTTTGGTGTTTATTTTCTAACTGTGTACTAGTTTAAGAAGGCTCAAAGACTAACTTACTTTAACTAAAGTTAGAAGACAGTGGCACCTAAGCCAGAAGAAGGTGGTTAATAAATCATGACCAGCCAGGATACAGAGGATCTTAATCCTGTGATAGCCAGTCACCATCCCTTCTGCTAGAGGACAGTGTACATGAGAAGCCAGAGTAGGTGAAGTATGCAGGATATGAGGATGTGAGGTATCCTTGAGCTATGGCAGCTCTCATAAAAAGCAGGCGAGTTGGCTAGAGCAGCTCCCTGCCAGCAGATCAGTCTCCCTCTTCTCTGAGGAGAGCAGGACCTTTTGACTCTAGATATCATAGACATCATTACAGTGTAGCAAATACTTCCTTCACAAAGCAATTGCATTGTGACCATTATGTCACCCTCAGCCTAGGTGGACATTGCTAGAACTATACTGGGTGATCTCCAAGCCTTCACAAAGAAAGTTTGCAAACACCCCTCCACTCTACAGCATAACTGGTGTTATTCCTGCATCTTGGGTTAGAGTGTTTACTCATATCATCCTAAAAAGCAGCCTCTAAAATCTGAGGATGTCTTGTGAGCAGCTCCTGCATGCTGACTGCAAACATCAGTGAGGAAAATTGCAGTGACCTTTGCAACCTAAATTAAACAGACAAATCATATATTCCGCTGTAATTCATATGAGCCAGCTGTGCTATTTGGCATGGGTCTTCATTAAATCACTGAGTAGTATTTTGAATTATGCTGAATTTTATTAGAATTAAAAATGTTTTAATTTAAAAATGATTAAGTATGTAATTGAAAAGCCAACATGATTGCTATTCACTATATACTTTTACCACTATTCCACAAAGATAATCTGATTCTGAATGTAACTCACTGGAAACGTTCTAAGGAGTCCTTGAAAACTGCTAATGGACAGTGGCCAGGAGAGTATCCCAGACAGGAAGCCCCAAATATCTATGAATCTAAAGTAGAACCAATTTTCAGTTTTCTTTAATGACAGTGACCAAGTGTTTCAATGCTATGTTTATGACCTGAATTTTTATATATTATTTTGTTACTGTTGGCCATGTTTCTCAGAACCCTGTGTTGGCTCTCAATAATAATGATAATAGCTTACATTTATTGAATGTTTTCAGATACAGTATTAAACATTTTCCAGAGATTATCTCATTTGCATTTTAGAACAGGCCAATAAGATTCATGCTATTACTAGTGCCACATTTATTATCAACAACTAATCTTTCTTAGCCAAGGACAAAGCTCAGATGTCAGTCATTTTCCAAAGGTCATAGAAAAATAATTCAATCCAGGGTTCGACCCCACACCCTGAGGAATATATACTTATATAACACTATACCCTGAGGAATATATACTTATATAACACTATATAACCTTGCCACGCCTTGTTAAATGTATAACAAGCTGTTTAAGATTCTCTGGTGGGAAACAAAAGAAACTGGGGGAGGGAATAACAATTTCACTCTGTGGAATTATAATCAAACCTTTACTATAATTCTGCTTGCTTTCATGTCACTTAAACACTCTTAATATTTTGTAATGGAAAGAAAAATGATGTGGTGTAATTGGAAGCATTTAAAAATTTAGAGCATGCTTATAATATGTAGGGTGGAGAATTTTCACCCACCCAGTGTAAAGCTTTTGAAAACAGTTATGCTGATAGATGTTGAGAAAAGTAAGTTAGTTTCTTGTGTGTGTGTGTGTGTATGCCTAAGATTCTGCCATTAGGAAGTGTATATGGTTGGAATGTGGGTGTTGTAGTACTTGAAGGTGCAGGCCATGGGGTTATTGGACTTTATTTGTAAACAGTTTCAACTTTGCAGGGTTTTTTTAAGAGAAAATTGCTCATGAACTGGGATGAAGAGAGAATCCTAACTGTTTTATAGATAGAAGTCTATTAATGTTCAAAAGAGTGAGTTCAAAGACCTACCACTGTGAACCTGGTGTAAATAAGTGTACACCACTGTGATGTGAGGAAATGGGGAAGTAGGAGCCATGAGCAAAGAGGCAGCGTATGGGAGTGTCAGCTGGTCCATTTTCCAGTTTGCTTAGAGCTGAGTCACACATAGAGGATAGGTATAAAACAAAGCTGAGAGTTTTGGACTCTACATGTTATGAACATGCTTTAAGTTTTTTAGGAGAAAATGCCTCCGATTACACCAGATCAATTTTCTTTCCATTACAAAACATTAAGAGTGTTTAAGTGACATGAAAGCAAGCAGAATTATAGTAAAGGTTTGATTATAACTCCACAGAGTGAAATTGTTATTCCCCCCACTCCAGTTTCTTTTGTTTCCCACCAGAGAATCTTAAACAGCTTGTGATACATGTAACAAGGCGTGGCAATTTAGCAGGGTGTAGTGTTATGTCAGTATACATTCCTCAGGGTGTGGGGTCGAACTCTGGCTTGAATTATTTTTGTAATTAAAAATTCCTGGTAATTACAAATTCCCAGGACAGTAATTTGAATATGGAAATGAAAGGGTTGAGATGGGAAGCAGGGAGGGCCCAGAAGATGCCTTGAGAGCCAGTCAGCCTAGGTCAGGAAGAACATCAGGAAGGCAAGGAGGAGACTCATAGGACAGGTTTTGGAAGGAAAGAAATGTTATTAACATGTGCAGCTCTAGTCACAAAAATGTCATTGCTAACATTCCCATGCCTGCTTAGTGGCCAGACAATGAAGGGACACAGACAGAGTGACTTAGCCAAGACCGCAGAGGCGATCAGATGGGAGGTTGGCTCTCAAGCCAGACCTTCTCTTTGCCAGTTGATCGCATATTCTGCACTATCACTATAACCTTTCATGTGCAGGTGAAAATATATAAAATACTAAAAGTACATTTTCAAAAGAGAAAGGTTTGCCAATCTACCTGTGCTGAGCCTGGTCAGAGGCTGCTAAGGAAAACATTGTATCCCCTGGAGTTAAGATGGTGCCTTTTCTGGCAATACCAGAGTAACTTATTGTTGAGAGGGGGAATTTCATCCTCTCCATTGTTTACATAATGTTTTCTCTTTTTTTTCTTCTTCTTCAATTTTCCCTTATTCCATAAAGATATAGTCATAGCTGTGACGTATAACCATGATGGGTCATATGACATGCAGGTAAGCCTTGTTGGTTCTGGTCTTTATCTCAGAGCCAAATCCTATCTTTCTCCTACTGAGTAGGGTTGGTTTTTCCTTCTCAGGTTTTCCTTAAGCCTTTGACCATTGTGACTGTAATGAGAATGCCATGTGCTTTTATTTCAGAGCAGTTTGAGGGACTCACCCCTGTATTGTTTCTAACCTGTTTATTCAGTTTGGCTATGATTTCCTTAAGCATAAAAACTTAGCAAAAAGAATAACCTTGAATTAAATAGCTAATAAGCCCCTCAGGTATGTGCACACATTTCACCAAAATAGCAGCACTCAGATTTTTGAGATTAGGAACCCAATACACATTTAAAAATTATTGAGAGGTCAGATGTGCAAAGAGCTATTAGAAAATTTAAGAAAATTAGGTGTACAGCTTAATGGCACAGATGTTGTATAACCATTGCCACCACCCATCAACAGATAAAACAAAAGCTTTCCTATCTTTTTCCTGTAGTTTTTGACAACTTCCATCATAAATACAATGTTTTGTGAACACCTCTTCCATTGCCTTCGCCTATTCCCCACCTCCACCCCACCCTCCAACACTTCCTTCTTCCCAACTAGTCCCCCCCAACTGTCACGTCTTTGTTTTAATCCACTGAGTTAGTTAGGGTTGCTTGTATAAGCATGGGTAGGGAGCTATTTGCTAGAGGCAACTCACAGCTGCTTACACCACTAAAGGAAATGATACCCCTTCCCCAGCAACCATTAACTGCCAATGGCCCCTCTCCCCGCTCCTCCTCTTTCTCCATTGGTAGACCTGGGGCCTCAGAGGCCCCTCCCCATCCATGATAAAATGTTAAAGAGACCAGTCTTGTGCAGGTACGGCTGTTGGAAAAATGCCACTAGGAACCGGTACACAGAGAGTGCTTCAAAGTTGTTTAATTGTGTGTGTGTGTGTGTGTGTGTGTGTGTGTGTGTGTGTGTGTGTCCAAAAGTAGAATTGCTGCATCATGCAGTGATTCTGTTTTTCATTTTTGAGGAAGTGCCATGCTGTTCCCTGAAGCAGCTGTAGCATTTGCATTCTCACCAGTAGTACACAGGACTGTTTCTGCATCCCGGCCATAGTACTTGTGGGTTCCCCCTCTGTTTAATAACAACCATCCTAATAGGTGGCAGTGGTCAGGCACTGAAGCTCTAATTTGTTAAGGATGGTGGCTTCTTCTTTTGTGTGTGTGTGTGTGTGTGTGTGTGTGTGTGTGTGTGTGTGTGTGTGTGTACTTGCTGGCCACTGGTATGTCTTCTTGGGAGAAATTTCTCTCTGCAACCTTTGCCTATCTGTATTTTAATCCAGTTATTTTGTTGTTGCTGTTGAGTTGTAGGAAAACTAGAAAAAATATAAAATCTAATATCAAGTACCCATTACATTAGCCATCATAAGTGCTATATTCTCACAGGTCCAGTGGCTTCTACAGAATTCTCCTCCATACTTATGGGGGAAAATGTTTTAAAAGGTAGATAGCATCTTGGTCCTATTATGAAAACAGTTTAATTTTGCAGGTTCTCTAAATGGCTGTTGGAAAACTCAAGGAATCTAAGTCATTGTCACTCCAGGGTAAAGCTTAGGCTAGCCTTTAATTAAAAGAAGTCTGTTGGCAAAATGAAATGCTAAGAAGGTTCTTATTGTTATTTATTCATTTGGGGATGTCTCACTCATGAGTCTAGAGCCTGTGTGGAAGTCCGAGAACAATTCACAGGAGTCAGTTCTCTGTTTCCTGTGAGTCCTAGGAATCAAACATGAAACTCAGGCCATTAGGTGTGGTAGCAGACACCATTCACCGGGCCATCTTGCCTAGCTCCTTAAGAGGATGTTAAAATGTAGGAATTCAGCTACAAGTTCAGTAAATATATCACATTTAATATGAACTGAAGGATTTCCAATTCTGAATGGATTTACCGGTTACATGTGGTAGAATTCCCAGCACTTTGAGGCCCGGCAGTTTTCTCTGTCTGTGCTTCAGTCAGCCATGGGAAGTCACCCACTTTGGATACGTGCACTATGTTTCCTTCATATTGGCCTCTGGTTTGGGGACCTTTTCTTGTTCCTTGATGACTAGTAAATTGACAGTTGCCCTGGTTGGCTCATGGGAATAAATGTGTTTTTGTTAATTTTTAGACAAAACTTTTATACCCTGAGATTTCACAGATATTCAAATAGCTGTTTTAGTAGCTTGGAAGGTGGAGTCAATGTCATGTTTAACTTAAGGGAGATGAGAACAAATACAAATTCCACCATGTAACCTACGTCACTTTAGCCCCAGCAGCATATTTGTGAAGAATAGATACAGATTCTATACTAATATGATAGGAATTGGAAAGAAAAACATAGATTAAATGGATTTTCTGTGTGAGGGAAATTTTCTCTTGCATGTATATTCAAGAAAACACTCTTTAAAACAGGAAAATGTGTCCTTTTACCAGCTCCCTTGAGACATCATAAGTTGTCTTCTGACACAGCCCCTGAGGGCAAGACAACTGTGACTAGTCCCCAGCTCGTCTGTTCTTTCAAATCACAACCAGAGCCCATGGAGTCAGTCAGCCCTGTGTGTTGCTGAGATAAAGGAAGTGCCCTCTGTGCGGGTCCAGTTTCATTCTGTTTCATGGCTGACCTTGGCACAGGAAAACTGCATTTAACTTAAGAACTCGGGAATGAGTACCAGCATGTAATATAGCCAGGGGAATTGAATCATTTTGTCTGGTTTCTGTTAATTTAGTTGTATTTTGAATTATGTGTATCTAGAGGGTGGAGTGTGTGCAATTGGGTGAAGTTACCTAAAGAGACCAGAAAAGGTCATCGGATCCCCCTGAGCTGGAGTTACAGGCAGTTGTGAGGTGCTTGACATGGGTGCAGGGAACCGAACTCAGGTCCCGTAGGAGCAGCGTGCTCTTCACGGCTGAGCCATCTCTCTAGCCCTTGATGTGTTCTTTTATTTGACATGTTTATGTTATTCTTTCCACTTTTAAATGAACTTTCATCTGCATTATGCTGATAGGAATAACATATATAGTTTTTTTTTTCTTCTAATTATCGTACTGGTATATGTATCTAAATTGTCTGGTTAGGAATCTGGGGGCGGGGGTTCTGCATGGTTCCTTGAAAAATATACCTTTGAAACTGCTAATGATGAAGACATTTTGACTTTATTAACTCTACATAGTCATTCATTTTAAAGCCTTTTTTCCCCCCAGATTGAAAATCAGACCTTCCGAGTCCTTGGTGACCTTTGCAATGAGGGAGGCTGTACCTACCTGAAGTCTTCTGTTGACGGAGTAGCCAGTAAATCCAAGTTCGTCATCCTCGACAACACCATCTACCTGTTTTCCATGGTGATGTCTCACTCTTGTCTTGTTTTGATGAGGTTTCAGTCTGCTGCTCAAGCTGGGCTAGGACTCATGGAAATCCTCCTGCTGTAGTTTCCCGAGTTCTAGGATTGGGTGTAGGCTACCATGTCTGGGTTTGATGATAGCCCTCTTGGGGTTTGGGATGGAACTGATTAACCAGAAGCATTTCACTGATAGGCCCACTTCCTTCAGCCACTGAGATCATGTTCGCCCAGTTTCCCTCTCCACATGTCTTTGCCACAGTCCTACCTTTCTAGTTCTATTCATCTATTTTGTTCCCGCAGATTCTCATTGTTACACATGACAGTTTTCTTCTTAGAATTCAGAAATGAAGCTTGCCCTCTCCTTGTGAGAGGCTCTGCTCTTGGCGTGGGCATTCCCCCATACTGTACCCAGACCCATCCCTGTGTCACTTGGAATCCTGGGGTTGGGAACAAGGTGACCACAGGAGAGCAGTCTGGATCAGATGCTTGTGGCAATAGGAAAGTGGATGGGGTTAGTGGCAGTGACTTGGCACTCAGAAGAGAGCCAGGGCGAGCTTGGCTTGGCCTTGGTTCAGAGCCTGATGACCAGTGAGCCCTCAGCTCCTGGGCAATGGAGAGAACTGTCCATCAGAGAGATGGGGCCATATCAAGACCACGGTGTTTATGGGGAAATGGCTTTAGTAACTGCACTATGCCTAAAGTCAAGGACAGTGCAGCTTTCCCAGTAGCTCTCTTCTGCAGCCAACCATTGCTATAACAGCGCCAGGCTGAGAGGCAGGCCGTGGAGGGGCAAACAGCTCTGGAGGGTAAAGCTGTCCTGGATCAAGCCCTGGCCCTGCCACCCGGCAGCTGTATGACCTTGTACAGTTAAACTTTCCAGGCTCTGGTTCTGCCATCTATAACCTTGACTAGTTAGCAGACTTACTTTATAGAATCGAGAATTAATAGCATAGTGTGTATGTAAGTGTAAAGTTCTTACTGTAGATTATGTTCTCCACAGTAAAGATGCCACTAAAAATCACTTCCAGAAAGCGAACATCCTGTCACTTACAGTCCTGTCCTTTAATTCTTAATCTCTGACCAGGCATCTATACCATGACCTCTGTGTCATGGGAGATGAGACTGATCGAGGCTTAGTAGCCTCTTAAGATCACTAAGCTTCATCAGAACCTGGGTGTCAGTAGTGACTAATAGTCACTACTAGCATGAATCAATCCCTTGGGTGTCCTACTGAACATAAAGAGATGAGATGCTGGTCCGATGTTCACTGTTTTGTATAGGAAGGAAGTATTGAAATTGGCATTCCAGCACCCAAGTACTTGGCCTCAGCGAGCTCAGAAGGAACTCAGGGTGGTACCATCGCTCCTATGACTGGAACCATTGAAAAGGTAACTAGGGGGCATCTGTGCAATGATGTCCGAAATGGCTCGTAAATGTCCTTTTGGAGCTTGGTGTACCCTTTCTTTGTATATCCTTTCCAAAATCTCCTAAATTTTGCTCATTGGAAAGCAGTGACTTCAAGAAAATAAGAAGAGTGAAATATAATGGTTCAACTTTCAATGTACATAACTACCAGTTTTTGATAAAGATTAGTGGGCTTTTGTATGGGGGTGTGTATGTGTATGTGTGTGCTACATGCATGAGCCTGAGTTCAAATCCAGAGCCCCATACATGTTGAGAACCCTACACCTGAGCTCCACCCCAAGACTGCTGGGGCGGGTTGCTTATTTGTTTTTAATTTTAATTTTATGTATGTGTGGAGGTGTTTTGCCTGTTTGCATGTCTGCTACACATGTGTGCAGTGCCCACAGAGGCCAGAAGAAGGTTTCAGAGCCCCTGGAACTGGAGTTAGAGACAGTTGTGGGCTGCCATGTGGGTGCTCTGGAAGAGCACCCAGCGCTCTAACCGTTGAGCCATCTCTGCAGCTCTGAGGCCGCTATTTTGAAGGGAAGAGTTTACTCCATGGTACAGTGTGTCCTGCCTGGTTCCGTGAGCCTGTGATGTCAGCCTCGTGGCCGATTGGGGCCTGAGGGTCACCTGAATTTGAGGCCAGCCTGGGCAACAAACACAGCAAGACTCTGTCATAACAAAAGAAAGAAGTACAGCTAACACCATCTAGGAGCATGGCTCAGTGGAGGAGCATGGCTCAGTGGAGGAGCATGTGCTTAGCATTCCCGGGGACTTGGCTTCAATCCCCGGTGCCAGAGAAAAGAAAGAGGGGAGCTAGGAGGGGTGAATCAAGGCCGAATCAGTGCATTTTTTCCTCTTTAAGTGTCATGTTTCCCAGGCTGCTCTTGAATCCTGGGCCAGTGATCCTCCTCTCTCAGCTTCTCGGGTGCCACAAACCCCAACTCAGAATGTATTTTTAAGAAGGAAAATTTTGTCATGAAATAATGACATAATTGCCTATGTGTTAAAATGAGTTTGGAAGGCTGGTTGGGGACCCACGTGGCTCAGGGTGGGGTGCAGGTTGGAGAGGAAGTTGTTTTTGTGGCTTTGAGACAGGGTTTCAGTGGGTAGCCAGGCTGGCCTCAGACTTAGAGCGCTTGTCTTGCCCTTCCTCCGAGTGAGGAAATTACAAGCACACACTTCCACACCCAGCAAACCACGTGATCTGATACAGTCTAAGGATGCAGTCGGGGCACTCACTTGACTGCTGCTTGGCACTCACTTCCATACACATGAAACTACGTAAGTTTATTCTTCATGGTTCTGGAGGTTGGGAAAATCTTGGATCATGTGACTAGTGAGTTTGCTTCTTGGTATCACAGTGGACAGACCGTCTTCTCCTCCTAGTGTCCCCACATGTCAAAGGGCACAGGACCTCTCTTGGGCTTTCTTGGTGACAGTACAGATCCCTGGTGACCTAATTAATCACCTTCGAGAAACCCTAGCTCCAAACCTTGGGTTTACTATTTCAACATGAATTTCAGCAGGATACAGACATTCACATGGTAGCACAAGACGATCTAATTTCTTTGGGGTAGATATCTGGTCTCCCCAATACATTAAGTCATACCAATTCCATTGTGGCTGGAGATGTGGCTGTGACAGAAAATCTTCTTCACATACGGTGAAGTTCTGGGTTCATTCACCAGCACTGCAAAAAGTAAAACTCAGCTGTATATTCTTAGAACAAAAAAAAAAAGAGGAAAAGAATTATTTAGTCTCCCACTGTTCTCTGGTGTGTGAGCTGACAGAGTTAGATCTGCCTTTAGCTTGGTCAGTCTCTATTCACACCAGCCTTCCACAGTGAGGGATGCCTGCAGAGAATAGTCATCTTACATCTGAAGATGGACACACAGTGGCTTTGTGAGACTGTACTGAAGAAGCGTCACCAAGGACTGGGTGATCTTTGGAGCATCCAGAGATGCTTGTTGCTTATGACTGTGAGGGCTAACTCCCTGCTGGTGTCTTTATAGACTGTTCGGTAGCTGTATTAACTAAGAAGACAGTTAGTCTGCATCAGCTCATTAGTCTGGTAGAACTGGAGAGAGGGACGGACATCCTTTTCTCACATGAGGACTAGTTACACACTTGTAACACAGACTCAACATTTTGAAAGGCCATCATAAGCAACTCCCAAACTAGAAAACTAGTCAAGAGCCTCATCCTCCACCCTGTATGAGACATTAACAGATATCCGTCCTTCCCTGCATCATTTATATGTATACATTTCCCTGTACCAGACGTCAGGTCTGTCCTGATTATATTCATGAAAAACGAAACAGTACAAAGTTATGTAAAATCCATTCATCTGAGTCAAGCAAAGCTAGGTCACAGCCTAAAGAGACTAAGCACATACACTCAACAGTGCTAGCAGTGCTAGGTGGACCTGGCAGAGTCCAGTTTCCCTGGTACATCTGTCCTCGGCAAATAACCCCGACATGTAGGCCTGTGCTCCTGTTCCATTTGTTCACATAGCAGCTCTGTGAACAAGAAGGATTTGTGTTTCAACGCATCCCTCAATCTCTAGGTGTTTGTGAAAGCTGGAGACAGAGTAAAAGCCGGAGACTCTCTGATGGTTATGATCGCCATGAAGATGGAGGTATGTGAAATCCCAAGTTCAGTTGCCCAGTAAGCCTTGGCAGCAACCCAGCCTAGCTGTGCTTTGCTTTATTTGATGGGTTAATAACATTTAAAATACTGAGAGTCATGAGCTGTCTCTAAGTATTAATTGCAAAAGCTAAAGCAACCATCCTTATGGTAAATTCATTTTCATCTTGTGAAGCCATACCTGCCATTCTGAACATACTGAAATTATCATCAGCAGTATCGCAGCCGAACACTCGCTGTGGCTATTTCCTAAAGCTGAATTAAGGATGACAGGTGTCAGACTGTAGGCCAGCAGCTCCTGGCTCTCCCAAATGCTACTTTCACTTTGGAAGCTTTGTAGACCTGCCTCCCAGTTGAACTGGGCCCTCCAGCAGGAAGGCCACGTTGTAATGCTGGGGTTGATCCCAGGGCTCCGTGCAGCTAGGTGGCCACACTCATGGCACCCCAAGTCCTAGTCCTTCACATAAGCTTCCCACATGCAAGTGTGCTGTAAAACCTGGTTGAGATTGCTCATTAGACAGGAGCTTCCCACTCTCGTCCTTGATAGTGTTACTGCTCAGTACTGACTCTTCTCAACTGTGAAAGTGTCTCCATTTTCTCTGTGGATGGCAATGTGTGTGAACAAACAAACTGAGAAACCATAAAGCATTGAAGGCATTAGCTGTTTTTTCATTTTTGTCTGCCTCTCATGGCTTGGTGTGGGCATGGCCCTTAATAGCATGACTACCATTGTTGTTTATGTCCCTACAGCATACCATAAAAGCTCCAAAGGACGGCAGGATAAAAAAGGTGTTCTTCAGAGAAGGGGCCCAGGCCAACAGACATGCACCTTTAGTGGAGTTTGAGGAGGAATCTGACTAATTCGAGTTGTAATGAACTGTGTCCATCAAAGAAAGCAGCTGCCCAGCATCTTACCTACCTGGATACAGCAAGTGCCTCTTGAATTTCTAGGTCCCAGGAAGAGGAACTTTATTAAATAAATGGTCATGTGATTGTAAAACCCTTTCATACTTACAAATTATCTCAAAAGATTTCGTAGAAATAAAACTGAGTTGTATTTTTTTTTTTAGAAACTATTGTTTGCCTTAGATCTTGTATGTTTACTCTTTTAGAAGTAGGGTAGAAGGCAGCTTGATTAAGAGAGAAGTTAAAAGGAAAAGTCATATAAGTGAGTGGCTTTCCAGTTCCCCCTGATGAAAATACAGTGACATACTTCAGAGGCAGGGGTCCCAGAGCTGAACTCAACCACGGGTCACTTAATTATTTTAAGACACAAGTGTCACTTGTTTCTAGTCCTTGTGTTTGGAAAGTTTCTCTTTAGCTTCTTCTGCCTTTATTGTACTTGCAGGCAGCCTGGGAAGCCCTGAGTGAGTGACGTCTTGACTGAATGTGTCCTGTTGATCTGGGCACGGCCATGTCAAGGATCTTAGCCTTAGACCCAAGGAAAATGGCACCCCACCCACCCCCACCCTGAGATTCCCCTTTCGGGGTGAGGCTCAGGGGAATTTTGAACAAAGCCTTCCTCTGTTTTCTGTGCAGATATTGATATTGTGTGCAAACATTATCCACCATAGCTTTCTACCCCCAGGATGTTTACAGCCTGCTCTCCTGCAGAGACCACTCCTACTAAGATTAGCGAACCTGTGGCCTCGACCCAGCTGTATACCATAAACGCTGCCTCCTTGTTTACCTGTATACGATAACCTCGCCTCCTTGCTCAACTCTATGTAATTAACACTCTGAGCATCCAAGGTGATGTGATTTCTCCATGGATGGAGAGTCCAGTCCATCTAGTTCCAGTCTTTTCTGGTGTCTTTGGTGCTTGTATTTTCTTCATTCCCTTACCACCCCAATCAGGTCTGTCCCTGGAGGTGTGCTGGCCATGGCAGTACTGCACTCGCTAAGTGGACATCTTAAAAAGCGTTTGTATCATACTCGGATGTTACTTTTCTTTAATTTGGATAAATTAAAAAAAATGGTTTTGCACAAATTGGCTAGAGGGCCAAGGAGATGGATGGCAGAGTGATTCAGGTGCCTACACAAAAGCAAGAGGACTGGAATTCGGATTCGGAGTGCCCTGAAAATGCCAGGCAAGCATGCCATCTTGCCTACAATTCCACCCTCAGAAGGTGGAGACTGAATCTTTGGTATGAGCTGGCTAGCAAGACTAGCCATAGCAGTGAGCTCTGAGTTTGGTTGAGAGACCTGGCCTCACAGTGAGGAGGAAGCACAATTGAGGAAGACCCGGACATCAACTTCAGGCCTCTACACGTGGCTGACACGAAGGAATGGGGACTGAATAGAGAGGAGGTCTGAGAAGGGAAGGAGGAGGGCTGGGGGTTCAGCAAACTTCTGTGGAGTCCTAGGGAATGGAATTAGGGCTGGAGGAGAGGCATCTGCAAACACTCGGATACAGGGCTGGGTGTTATGGAGGGTGAGGATTGCCTGGTCAATCATCTAATCGGAAGTGGGCATAATCATGTCAGAATTTCCAAACCCTATGCCCTGGATGTCAAGGGAGTGGTTCCAAAGGCAGCATTGTCAACGGTGGCAGACAGTCAGGAGTGTGGGTCTCCCATGGTCTGATTATCTGCCCTAGTTAGGATGTTCATTCATTCATCAAGGTAACATCTCCTGGATGTGATTGAAGGTGAAATCTGGCTGGTGTGGAAATGGGTGTTTCAGTGAAAGCTTTGTGAGCAGGTGTGACCACGGTAAGATTCACTAAGGAAAACCCAGGGGGTAGAGGGTTTAGACGAAGAAGTGTGAGGCGGCAGCAGCAGCGCCTAACCGGACAGTGAACTGGTGTTGTCCTGTGCCTGAGCAGATTTGCACAACTAGAGGAGAGATGCCAAGGTGTGCAATGGAGGCTGAGGAAAAATACTGCCATGAAGTGAGAAATTGGTGAGGAGTGATTATGTAGAATTACTTTTTTAGCAAGGAACCTCCCTGACTCCATTTTGAAGGCAGGAGTCATTATACTGTATTTTAAAAAATAAGTTTCTATTTACTATGAGAGTTGAGTTGCTTTCTGGTTCCTGGAACCTGACCCATGACCTTGATTTGTTTTTGAGAATACCCTTACTCTCCTTGACCCCTCCCTAATCACATGGGTGACCACATGATGTTCTTTTAAAGATTTTTTTTTATTTGCTTATGGCCCCATTGTCTCCCTTCTGTAAAACTACTTGTGATGTTACTTCTTAAAAGGGGCCCAAGAGATGGATTTGGTGCTGCTCTCTCTAACCTGACTTCGGAGGCAGTTGTTGGCCAGCTCTTGGGTACACCCCAATAAAAATCAAGTTTGCTTCAAATTTGGCTCAAATTGTGGTAGTGGTCTTATTCTCGCTGTTGGGATTAACAGAACACAGTGATGATATTTGAGGGGAAAATCTATCTGGCATTTAGAGCCCCTCTGAGAAACACAAACAGTATTCATAAGGTTAAATATTTCCATGCCCTATAATCTAACATTCTACTTCTAGAAAACTCCAAATACACTTGTGCACTAGACATACTCACAGTAAACTGAAATTCATTGGTAGTACACTTGCCTAGTGTATGCAAGGTCAACACACACACACACACACACACACACACACACACACACACACACACACACACACACACAGATTCACAGCCACATTACAAACAATGAGTTGGCAAGCAAAGGGAGAATATGGTTTGGGCACACATTGGATACTGCAGTGCTGTGGATATCGCTCTGTATAAATAAAACACTGATTGGCCAGTAGCCAGGCAGGAAGTATAGGCGGGACAAGCAGAGAAGAGAATTCTGGGGACAGGAAGGCTGAGTCAGGAGATGCTGCCAGCCGCTGCCGCCATGAGTACCAGCATGTAAGATACTGGTAAGCCACGAGCCATGTGGCAAGGTATAGATTTATAGAAATGGGTTAATTTAAGATGTAAGAACTAGATAGCTAGAAGCTTGAGCCATTAGGCCAAGCAGTTTAAATAATATAAGAGTTTGTGTGTTTAATTTATAAGTGGGCTGCAGGACTGCCCAAGCTTGGGAGCTGGAGAGAAGTAATCAAGAAAAGTATTTTTTTTTCTTTTATTAGTACAAGTTTGACAACCAGCAAAAGGGACATGGGGCAGATACTCCTCCAGCCTTCAGTTTGTGTCAGGACTTGGATAGCAAGCAGTGCATAATCAATGATGGAGAGGTTGGTGTGGTGGCACATGCCTGTAATCACAGCACTCTGTAGCAGGATTGTGATTTGCAGGCCCACCTGGGCTACACATTGAGACCTTATGGTTTTTGCTTTAAGGTGAAAACCTGAGGATATAATCTTTGTTCTTGCAGAATTGAAAAGCACTTTACAGTTAGATGGTTAAGATCGGGTATGCATCCCTGGGCTGCTATAAGACAGCCCTCCAGTGTGGAAACACCCTCTGCCCATCCAAACCATTCCTAAACCAGCCTTCCCACAAGATGGACTTGGGACAGGAGTCACTTATCTTCCCATTACGCCAGCTTGAAACAGTTGCCTTTCTTGTTCTCTCTCTCTCAACTGAATGGGCCCATGTGAGGTGAGCAGCAGGCTTGATCCAGTAGCAAGCCCTCATGCATGTATGCATGTCAGCTCTACAGACATTTGATGTTTGCTTCTGTCCCTGGAAACAAAGATGGGAAGAACTGCTTCTGTTCTGGCTCCATCTAATGGAAGTGAGGCAGCCACATAGGAAAAGGTTGTAAATCCTAGTAAGAAGTACCTGGGCACTAGATGCTATGGGGACCAAAAGAGGAGAAAACATACTGGAGATCAAGACAGTGAGAGAGGGAGTGACATTTTAACTGAGCTTTAGAGGACAGCCATTTGCCACACAGCAAAGAGAGATGGTAGGTAGGTGGTAGTATCAAGACACTTCAGGCATACGGACTAGCAGAGGCTAAGAAGAAGGCAGGAAAGCTACAGTGTATTGGGGCAGAGTGCTCCAGCATGGACTGGACAACAGACAAGGAAGCAGCTGCCCAAGGCTTTTTGTGTTGCTGTCTGTTCCTAGAGCCTGGGGGCTGCTAAAGACTTCCTAACAGCTTACGGTTGCAAGTTGTATAATGTGCACAATCTTGAGTGCACCCTGGAGAATGTGGAGACAGTCCAGAGGAGACCAAATGCAGGGCCTAAGGTTGGAGGAGTAGGGAAGACAAACTTTGGTATACATACACCTTAACTTCTTTTTATTTATTTTCCTCTGGGACAGGGCCTTGCTGTGTAGTACGAGCTGGCCTGGAACGCATTATGTAAACTGTGGTGTGACGAGATTTTTCCTTGAGGGGATGCAACTCACCTACTCACCCCATGATAGGGATCCCAGTACAGACCAAAGTACAGATACCACCAAAGTCAGTTGGTGAACCAATGAGTTTCATGGGGGTTACTTGTAGGTGAGGGGTCACTTACAAGAGCAGAAATGACTCAGAGACAGCTGCATCATCAAAGCCCACTCCAGCATGGGTGACAGCTCACAAAGCTGGGACCTGGAGCACACTGCACAGCCTGAAGGCAGCTCAACAGGTTGGACAGTGTCCTTTCCAAGTGACTCTGGTCTAAACCCCTTCCAGGCTGGTTCCTATTTTTTTCTTCCAGGCAGCTGGTCTGATCTCAGGGTTTTCTTTTCATACTGACTTGTCTGAGAGTCTTTGCAGTTTTGCTTAGTCAGTCTGAGAATAACTCTCAACTTTTATTGCTTACTCTGGCAGGAAGGGGCCTTGTGAATCTGGTCAGTTTCAGGAACTTCCTGAAGCTAACTTTGAGTTATGCAACCTTCCTGTTTAAAGAGCTTCCCTGCAGGTTGAATGTTTCAACCTGCAAGGAAACTGTTACACAACATAGACCAGGTGGCCTTGAAATTTGAATCGTCTGCCTCTGCAGGCAAGTACCAAGATTACAGGTATGTGCTACCGTTCTTATATTTGTTTTGTGATGGAATCTCTGTGTAGCCCAGCCTGGCCTTGAACTCATAGCAGTCCTCCTACCTCAATCTCCCAAATACTAGTATTACAGGCTTGAAACATTATACCCAGTCCTTAATTTAGAAGTATTCTTCTGCGGTAGAGGTGTTGTTCAGGGTAGAGTGCTAGTCTAGCATGTACAAGACTCTGGGTCTCATGGGTTGGGAAAGAGAGCTAAGTTCAACTTAGCTGGTTACTCTTGCAAACATCACAGCCTTGGGTGATGATGAGCCTTGGTTAGACATGCATCAGCCAGTTCCTTTTTTCCCCCTTTGTTTCTAGTCTATTCCAGTGACACCATAACATCTGTCAACCACAAGCAGATTATATGTCTCTCTAGGAAAGCCCCCAGTGTTTGCCAGGCTGGCATGTCACTAGAAGCTTTGAGCAGAAGGGGTATCAGTATGCCCCAAGGGCAGCTCATCTCTGGCACAAAGGCTGGGCCTGGATCTGTTCTGTCTGTTTGCTAGCTGTAACATACCAATAGCTGTCAGTGGAGGGATGCTATTGTGTCTGGCTTCAGTGTGGGTGGACATCACTACTTCCCTGGACAGCGGAGAAGGGCTGACTTGTAGCTGAACTCATTACCTTGCTTTTCTCTGTCAGCTCTTCTGACATCAGCACACATGCTGTGCTTAACCCTCAAAACAAAACCTTCGGTATGTCAGAAGTGGAAATATAACTCTCGGCCCTGCACTTCTGTTGCGGGTAAAATACTTGCAGTGTTGATAACAACACTTGGCACTTCTGTTGTTCCTCTCGTCAGACGATCTCAAGAAACACTCCTAGAAATTCACACAGGGCTTAAAACTCTGAGGAAGACAGGAAAAATGTGGTTTGAACTATGTGCAAGAGGAGAAGAGATGGAGGTCTCCAAATGCTTTGCTTTGTATCTGTATTAGATACTTCTCTATTTCTGTAATGAAATGCCATGACCAGGACAACTTAAAAAGGAGGGTTGTATGGGTCTTACAGTTTCCGGGAGTTAGAGGCCATGACCATCCTGGTGAGGAGCATGGCAGCAGGCAGGCAGGCAGGCCGGCATGGCGGCAGGCACAATAGCCGAGAGCTCATAGTTTGATCAGCAAGCAAGAGGCAGAGAGTGAGCACTGGAATTGTGGGGGGTCTTTGGAAACCTCAAAGACTAACCCCAGCAACACATCTTCTCTAACAAGGACACACCTAATCCTTCCCAAACAGTTCCACTAACCAGAGATCAAGCATTCAAATCTATGATATGAGCCTAGGGGCACCTTTCTCATTTGATCTACCACAGTGCCCAATGCAGGGAAGAAACCCTTGGTCATGGCTCCACTCCTGCTGAACACCCTTTTGCTCACACTTTCTCAGGTTGCAGCCATGATAGTAGACTTTTAAGTCCTACCAGGCACCCTGGCAGCCCTGCTCATAGCTCTCAATCCATAGGCTGAGTGGAAGCATCTTGCCCTTTTTCCAGGACCCTGTGATGTCTCTGAGGACACTATTCATTCTGGGCTATGAGATTCCCAGATTATCCTCATCACGAGATATTTATCTCACAGCTTCTGGAATTAGAATGCCTTTAGTTCCATAATTTCCTATGATGTGTTACCAGGATATGCACTCTCCTCTTAAACCCACAAGCCTTGGCAATGATGTAAATTCCTTTTTTCCCTTATACTCCAAGTAATGGTTAACTCAATTAATACATACCAACCCTCATTATTGCTTTATTAAGTCTTTATATTAGGTTAGAAATATTTCTCAAGGAGTTAGGTAGTGTAGCTCAGTAGGAGAGTATGTGGTTAGCCCGTGTAAGGTCCTGGGATTAATCCCTAGTGCAAACTCTGACTTAATTACTTTTTCTATTGCTGTTTTAAAAATCCTGATAAAAGCAATTTAAGGGAGAAAGAATATATGAAAAACCTGATGGGAACACACCACTTCATAAGCTAATAAAAATATTTTTAAAAAGGAACTTGAATGGCAGTACACAGCAGGGGGACACAGCACTTTCCCCAAAAGACAGTCTCATCAGCAGACATGAGACACTCCCTGTGAGTGTGAGCTGCAGATCAAGCAGGTCCTAGAGACTTCCAAATCAGCGCACGCTATTGTCATTGCTCTTGGTTGCCCACCAGAACTAGATGGTAAGATCCTACAGTTGAAGGCAGCACACATTTTGGTTTCAGGACAGAGAAATTCAACTGGAAATGATCAGAAAACCTCCTCCCTACTGGCTAGCTTTCATAAGGCCAGAAGGTACTGGGGGGAAAAAAATCATGGTCTTACCCAGAGCTGGACCTTGTATGCCACAACACTAATTTCCAGACAAGATCTGCCTGTTGATGTAACAGAGGCAT